CAAAGTGATAATTCAGCACTTAAAATTAACTGAATAATTTCTCGATGATGAAATATCGTGCGAGCGATTTTGCTTATCTTGTATAAAACACTTATTATTTTATTTAATATTATTATTAGATATTTATTATTTTATTTAATAGTTTAATTGTAATTTTCACCAATGCTTAATTGCTATATTAAGCTTGCTTGCTTGCTAGCGCAGTATAACATAATTGCCAATACTGAGTTACGTACTGCGTGTTAACCCTTTTAATGACTTCGTGGCGTAGTTGCCAAGATATCAGCGTAGGGCGTCGTGGGTTCTATTCTCACACGTGATAATTATTTGTGTAACCTTCAAATAATTGTTTCGGATCTGGATGTTTGTAGATGTGAAATTTATGTATGTAAAACCTCTTTACAAAAAAGGATAATGTTATCCGACAGCAACGGATAAGTTTTCGAAGGAAAGAGAATATATCTTCTAGGTCGCTGGGACTTACAACCCAATTCTTTCTAAGCAAAATACATTATTTGTCGATCATCACTCCTCCAGAAGGAATAGTGGTAAAAGCCAGGTTCTTGTAAACAAAAGTAAGATGAAAGAACACTAAAACGTGAGTTTATAAATTCACCATTTAAGATGAAGTTTGTGATCGAGCACATCATTAGTAAAAAGAATTGGTAAAGCTTAAGAACATTCAATCATTGTAGACCGGTATTTACAATATTCGAATGTTCAATGACTTCGAAAAGTCGAAAGGCAACCGTCGAATGTTAAAAGGACGCAGCCGCCTTTCTAATTCATATATCTCGTATTGCAAGGCAATGTCAGTAGATAACTAGGACGGTGTCCTGATATCCAAGGACAGAGAACAGTATCAATCGAGGCCAACATTGAAACAGAACTGGGAAAAAAATTTAAAGTTAGTAAATACTGTTTGTTCTTACAATATCAATGAGTGTAAAGTAAACTATGAGGGGAAGACACTGTAGTCTGTAACACAGTTGTAAACTATCACAGGCTACAGGGCTTCTAATGATTACATGTTTCTTTTTTGTACCCAATAAACTCATTATTATTATTATTATTTTTATTTTTAATAATGTTTCCATATATTTCGTTCTATTTGCTCTCCTCTTTTTTTGCCTTTAAAACATCCGACGTCAACGGTAGGAAATAATTCGTCGTGGGATGTATCTAAAACATGTCATCACGGACATTAACCGCAGCTGACGTGCGGAACCAATTATTATTAAGTCTGGGCGCGAGAACAGAAGGGGCAGAATCCCGCAGCGCCGAAAGTTTATTTCCATTTATCTTTATATTTTTTTAATTTAAAATTCCATCTTGAGCTGCACTCAGACTAGCGCTAAAAGTTTTAGGAACAATGGCGAATCCATGGCAATCCTATGAATAAAATTGCTATTTATCCAAAACAGTTTATCGGATCGAACCCATGAAAATGTAGGCATGACCTTCTCCGGCCTTATCCCTATTAATCCCAGCTTGGCAACTTAACTTTAGGGTGTTCCATTATAAGCCAAGTATTATGTAGACAAAACAAACACATTGGGCCTTCTTAGCTATAAGAAGGCCCAATCGTCGGCTGGAAAAAATAAAGTAGTGGTAAATAGTATTTAGAACTGCGAGAATAGTCACATAACGTAATATATAGTTTGTCATCTATACAAGTTTCTTGCAACAATGCTCATTCACATTTGGTATCGGAAAACAGCTTTTTTGCGACAAAATCGGTTAGTAGGCCGACCCGAGAGTAAAAAGTAACTATCTCGTGCTTTCATTTTACTCGAATAGCTGTAATTATTATCGTAACTTTCTAATATTTTTTTTATGGTACAGTACGCAAACATAAACATTAAAACAAAGAAAAAGAAACAATAAGTAAATTAACCATAACGCACCCGAATAGTTGTGTGACTATATTTTAACATCAAAATTCGACAGTTCCCACAGTTGAAACAAAATAAAACAAGGCCGAAGCAGAAACAAATGGACACGAACTGTTTGTTAGCGTTCTCGACTATACAGAATATTTCGAATGGAACGAGATATTTACAGTGCCGTGCGTACGGGGCACAATAAACTAATCATATTTATGGATGGAATTACGCCCGAACAAACAAACATCCGATATAGGGCGGTGGGAGCAAATTTATATTGCCACGCTGTCCGAGGTATGGTAACATTAACTTATAGTTAAGGATACATTATGGTTAGTACTACATTATTTTTCGCACAGAAAATGCTGAACATAATGTATCTGTCATGATGCCTGATTTTAACTGATATGAGCATCCATTTATCGTTACAGGTTTTTAGAAATTATTATGTTTTTCTACAAATTTTAATGTTACAGGTTTTTCATAGATTTCCTTTTCCTTTTTAAAAAAATCTCTTATTCTAGATTTGTACATTGTATGTACTTAAGAGTTATGGGTACGGAGCTGTAGTTACTGACTTATTTAGATTAAGCACTTTAGATCAATGTAATATTTACATGTAGTGAATTATTATTAAATTCGATATGTCCATTTTCGTTAGACAAAAAAAGGATTGAGCACACTTTCAATTGTGATCTGAACATCTACAAAAAAAAGGTAAGCTTACACACATATTTAGTTATTATACAACTTAACAATACCTATGAATTGATATACTGCAAATCCAAAGACATGTCTAGGTTTTTAAGAGATTATAGAAGTTTTGGCTAAAGACTGAGCACACAAAAGTTTAATTCTAGCTTTGAAAATAACACGTACACGTGTCAATGATATACCGAGATGATGCATTTGAAGGATATATTGTAATATCATCACAGGATATTTATTATCCTGTGATATTACACGATGTACCACAAGAACGTGCACTCTTAAATCCTATGCTGTAGGCGTTTAGAGTCACGTAATAGTGCACACTGCTACTGTAGGCAGTTGCAACAGTGAATTGAATACGTATGGTATAAGCACCATATGAATAAAAAGTTGAATATGAGTTTTGCTCACATAAGGAAATTGAGGAATTATTGATGAATCGAAGCGTTTACCTTGCTGTTAACGTTTTATATAAGGATCAAAATATGTATGACGTCGTTATATAGCGAAAAACGATTCCTTTATGACACCGCTAAATATTGTGATAAAATATTACTGGTCGAATACATTATTATTACTCACATAAGATAATTATTGTTAATGAAAACAGACAGCTTAAATTATAAATAAAACTAAATTTATTAATATGTATAAATTCATTCATAAACCATAGACTTTTCTTAATACTTGTAACACTCGCGTTGGAAGTCGATCGTTAGATTTTAAATATATTGGCTTATAAGTGGTTAACGACTTGCATTCAAATTTGTACATTCGCACTGACTTCCGACCGTAACGGACTCGCATTCGAATACAAACCTAATTATTTTTAGTTTAAATTATATTAATATGACACCTTCAGAAGCGTTATTTCTTTTTCCTTATTCTATCCTGAACAAGAATTGGCGAACGTGACAGGACTCGCATTCGAATACAAACCTAATTATTTTTAGTTTAAATTATATTAATGTGACAACTTCAGAAGCGTTATTTCTTTTTCCTTGTTCTATCCTGAACAAGAATTGGCGAACGTGACAGGACTCGCATTCGAATACAAACCTAATTATTTTTAGTTTAAATTATATTAATATGACACCTTCAGAGGCGTTATTTCTTTTTCCTTGTTCTATCCTGAACAAGAATTGGCGAACGTGACAGGACTCGCATTCGAATACAAACCTAATTATTTTTAGTTTAAATTATATTAATATGACACCTTCAGAAGCGTTATTTCTTTTTCCTTGTTCTATCCTGAACAAGAATTGGCGAACGTGACAGGACTCGCATTCGAATACAAACCTAATTATTTTTAGTTTAAATTATATTAATATGACACCTTCAGAGGCGTTATTTCTTTTTCCTTGTTCTATCCTGAACAAGAATTGGCGAACGTGACAGGACTCGCATTCGAATACAAACCTAATTATTTTTAGTTTAAATTATATTAATATGACACCTTCAGAGGCGTTATTTCTTTTTCCTTGTTCTATCCTGAACAAGAATTGGCGAACGTGACAGGACTCGCATTCGAATACAAACCTAATTATTTTTAGTTTAAATTATATTAATATGACACCTTCAGAGGCGTTATTTCTTTTTCCTTGTTCTATCCTGAACAAGAATTGGCGAACGTGACAGGACTCGCATTCGAATACAAACCTAATTATTTTTAGTTTAAATTATATTAATATGACACCTTCAGAAGCGTTATTTCTTTTTCCTTCTTCTATCCTGAACAAGAATTGGCGAACGTGACAGGACTCGCATTCGAATACAAACCTAATTATTTTTAGTTGAAATTATATTAATATGACACCTTCAGAAGAGTTATTTCTACTTCCTTGTTCTACCCTGAACAACTTATAATATAAAACAATTTCGAACTAAGTATATAATTAGTGAAAGGTAAGAAATCAGTAAAAGGACAGTATTTTATGTACTGTAAACCAATTACGAAATCATAAGCAAAAAATGGATGTTTTGCAGCAATGCTCCGGTTAACCTCATTTAATTAAAACAAAACATCGCTGTGATTAAAGTATTCTTATAATTTTATTCAGGAAAATTATTGTTTAAATGTGGAAAAGAAGCGACAGGACAAAGAAGCATAAAGTTTTGCGTCTATATAATACGTCTATGTATATGTTTACATACGAAAATTGCACATCGAGAGTTAATTAAAAAAATATAAGGTATATTGAGATTTTTATAAAAGAAATCAATTATAATATGCCTTTTACACCTTAGTTAAAATAAAGACATAATTGATGTTTATGATATTGTGATAAAGTTCAAAGGATAACTTAATTTTTAGTTCACGGGTTTGACATGAAATTTAATTAAAACTATCAATATCGTTTTAAATAATTATAACAACGTTTTACTTATTAGTTAGATACTCACGCTGCATATGAATGTGCTGCTTGGGCATTTTGTAGTCGGCTGGGTAGCATCTTTCGTAGAACTCGAGGTCGTTGACCTCGCACACCTCCGGCGTTGGAATTATGAGCCCCGTGCCTGATATCGCCCTCTGGAGATGGTGCTCCTAGAAAAGGGTTAAAAAGAACTTTTATTGAACTGTCTATATTTTTTTACCCAAAACCTTAGGCAACGTAAAGTAAAAAGTAGTAAAGTATCAACATATAGATGTCCCACTGCTGGGCAAAGTCTTCCTCGGTACAAAGGGTATCAGGGCATAGTCCACCACGCGGCCCCACTGCGGATTGGCGGACGTTACATATCTTCGAAACATTTTTTATTATTATTTCGAGAACATGCAGTTTTCCTTACGATATTTTCCTTTCCACGATAGTTTTGTGCTCAGAGGGAGCACGTGGTAATTTAGCACTTAAAATTTACAATTTCATTGGTGACGGCACCGGGGATCAAACTCAGGCTGCTCGAGTATATAAAATTAAAGGCGAGCGCCCGGACACTGAGCTATCACGGCAACGTAAAGAGAACAATTTATTAAAATGTGTAATATATTTGTGTCAATAAGATAAACTACTTTATAAAAACCAGTAATATTGAAAAAGGAATAACAAAGAAAGAACGATGTAACGAATACTCGTATGTAATCAAGAAAACACATAAAAATGCTGATTCATTGGTTAACAAGTTTATGTTGAACAGAGTTTGTAAGATTCATAGTTAGCATAAGGTCAAGAAACAAATATTTAGAAATATCATAAACGTTGTAAAGACTGTAAAGATTAACTGTTCAGATTTGAGTAATCCTTTCCTAATGGTCTCTTTAAGCGCAGATGTCTATTACAATAGATTAATAACGAAACAAAATGCTTTAGCTGTTTCAATTTCTCGTTTCCAGCAAATGAAGATTAATTTTCCCTTGCTCGCTCATTTGTGAGACCGAGGGGCCTCGCGCCGCATTAGAGACGTACAAAGAATACTTGAAAACATAAAACAGATGGATAATATATGATATATATATATATGTTTTTTCTTTTTCCTGCAATAGACTGATAGTCAAATCTATTACATATAGACATACAACATAGAAGATGAAACGAAAAATAGCGATACTATTAACATCGAAAGCATTATAAACATTTATTGTTTATTAACATTTTACAAACTAACTCTCAATATTTAACTCGTCTATTTGGATTCTCCGTCAATTTCCAAGTAGCACTTGAATAAATTAATTACCTAACTATCCGCGAAAGTAATTCATCAAAATATATTATGACTATATCATAAGGAACGTATATATATATCTCTATAGTTCGGAAAGCAATACCATTTCTTTAGAAATGCGCCGAATAGAGTGATACAAAGTCGACAATATAAGAGAGAAGGCGTCTGAAGGAAATTAATAGGAGATAATTGCAAGTCCTATTAAATGAGACTGCTCGGAATCGAATATTTTCTTTTCACTCATTTCCTTTCGAGATAGAATAACATTCCGCAGCATTACTTTATTACGTGCGTCCTCTCAATAGACTAATAAGGGCTTCACCGCAATAATACTCAAAGCGTGGGCGTCCTTTAAAGCCTATTAAATGAAATATTATGAAGTATTGCGTCGAGCTCGCAAGGCTACATACGTTATTGCAATAAGAGTAACTAAATTAACAATGACACCGCGGACATGCGAGTTTTTTAAAACCAATGGGCTCATCAGAACGTTGAACGTTGTTGAAAGTTCAATTTAAATTTAATAAATGGTATTATAAAATTTAGCATTGGCATTCGTTCGAAATGTAAGCATTGGTCTCTTCTTAACTTTTCTTCTTAAGAAAAAAGAAAATTATAGGTTCAAGAAAATACAGTATCTTTAAAAAAAGTTCAATTCTTTAAAATGTGAGCCGAAAAACAATGAAGAAAGGAGCTATTATTGGAGATTAAAATGGTAAAAAGATTATTTTTTTATTTTTTATTTACACAAGCAGTTTACAAGGAAATCAAAACGATCTTAGGTCATAATAAGCCAATAAGAAAATGACACTTTAAAAGACGCATTGCTCCGCTTGTGCACCAAAGCGGAACCCTAAACGAGTCCAATATAGTCAACGCCGTAACATTTTATCGATTGCCAATCGTAAAAGCTGGCTGGCGCTGAAATGATTAACGATAAGATTGATGGTGAATACCAACCATTTCTTATCAGGATCCGGTTTCGTTACAACAATTTTGTAATACTATGATACAAAACCAGAAAATACTTTATACTTACACTAATGTAATAGTTTACAGTTTGCTTACGAAAATGTAGCTGGCCATGTTTAAATTTCAAATGGATCTAAAATACATTTAATTTTAAATTAAAAACTTGAAATTAAAAAGCGAGATGAGATAGCGTTTTCCCCGAAAAGCTTTTAGCAGGAAGTCCTTGTTGCATATTATTAAATGGTAATATAAACTACATTGCCCTTTTTCCGTATCAGTATTAGCTAATGGACAGTTAAAAATTACATAAATTTGAAATTTGTGCTAATCATACAATATCACTACATAGTATAAAACAAAGTCGTCCCGCTGTCAGTCTGTCTATGCATGCTTAGATGTTTAAAACTACGCAACGGATTTTGATGCGCTTTACTTTAATAGAGTGATTCAAGAGGAAGGTTTATATGTATAATTCATGCATAATATAGTAGAGAAACAATGAGGTTTCTAATGCCATGTCGAGAATCAAACATTCAGCATTGCACCAGTGCGAAGCCGGGGCGGTTCGTTAGTTTTTAAATAAAATGGGAAACGTACGTCACATAAAAAATATTAATGCACAAGACGGTCGGGCTAGAGTTGCAATGTTCCACAAATGTCTTATCAAATTGCATGCAATCTTATCATAAATAACGGAAAATGTATTACAAACATATTTAACGCAATACATTTAACTTTACCGACCTAAAATTTAACGTTTCAAAACGTCAGTGTTTGAATATCAATAGCGCTCGTACTATGTACGTTTCATTGTGAATATATAAAACGCATTTGTTTATTATTATTCGTCGAAAATGAAATGTTGAAATGAAACAATGCTCTCAGGTCATATCCATGTTCTGCCTCAGTACCGTGTGTGGCAACTTCAAACAGGCACTACTGTTCCATGCTTTTAGTTCGAAGTTAACAAAAGATTTTAGGTCAAACCGACCGATTGTGATGTTAAAATTCATATTGAAATGATGCTTCATTTACTGTGGTAGGACCACGCAACAGTATTCACTGTTGCACGAATGGGCTGGTCCGTCCGGGTAAGTACCACGAACTCACAGAAGACCGGCGTAAAGTAGAAGTGTTACACTTCTGCATTTCGTCTGTAGAGTGAGGTAGCCGGGGCCCACTTTATTTAAAGGTGGTAACGCATTCGCAATCCTGCGGGTTTTGCATATGTTCATGAGCCGTGGTTATCACTTAACATCAGGTGAACCGCTAGCTCGTTTGCCACTTTCTCACATAAAAACTAAAACCTTTACAACTGTGTCTGCATATGTCACATGTAGATGCCGTTATGTGAAAATAGGTCAGGTGCAAAGAGTAAGGACTATGCATTAGCGCGATTTGTTTGATTTACACGGAGCTTCGAATGAGCGATGGCCAAGAGGCGGATAACTAATTCCTGTCGCGCACTCAATCTTATTATGTGGGGACTTTGACAACGCAAAATACATGTTCATCAACGATAAAATGGTTTTTGTTTTATTATATAACTAGCGACTGCAAAAATTATACATAAAACCTTCATCTTGAATCACTCTATCTAGTAAAAAATATCCGTTGCGTAGTTTTAAATATGTAAGCATACATAGGTACAGACAGCGGGACAATTTTGTTTTATACCATGTAGTGATATATATGAAATGTTTCACACGGTCTGTACTCCTGTCTTAATATTACATTTTAACATTATGTTGTATGTGTATGTGTAATTTGAACAATAAGTTATAACTTAAGTTATACTTTATACATATTTTGTATGACACATAGACGCCATGTGGGATACGGGCATCAAGATGACTCTCATGGTGATTGATGGCTTTGTTCATCAGCATTCAAAGTAATTAATGTTGAAAGTATTATCATTTAAATAGTCACATATAATCAAATATTCCATAAAAAAGCAGCCTCACGCCCGGTTTCTGAAACACAGATCATTGTAGTTTCTGATCAATAAGAAGATCATTCAAGTGATTCAATTGAGAGAGTTTAACAATCCATTTGGTGACTCAAATAACATTTGAAAATTAATTTGACAGCTGATTTGTTGATTTTGCGATGATCAGTGTTTCAGCAACTGGGCGTTAGTCTAATCCATCCGGTTAATTATTTTATATGTGTCAAACCTACTTTAAACTCTTTCTTTTGCCATATTTAAATTTATTATTACTATTAAAAGAAATAGTTGTATTTCTATTTGCTTTATTTACACATATTTGCAGAAAACTCCTAAATTTGTTTAGTTATATTTTATATCGAACAAGACAAAATTGTATCAGTTTCCATAAGTTGAGAATTGGACCGAGCTTTTAGAAAGTCTCACGCAAATAAAATAATATGAAATAATGGTGTTGGTTTCATAAAACACTGAAATGAGCAAAATAAGAGATAAACAAAGTTCAATGGCCCTACACTAACAGTACATTGTAACTGTATTGATGAGGAAGCAAGGACCGGTTCAGAGCTATGTCTGGACGTATAGCGAATAAGTAAAACGTAGGAAAAAAGCAAAAGCGACATTTGTTCGATACCGTGTTATTACCCCTATCTAAAACTATGACAATTTTTTCACGTAACTGGCCACGGTACCAAGAAATATGCCTTTTAGACGTGGTTATTCGCTTTAAATGATTTTAAATAAAACAAAACAAAATCGGCCAAGTGCGAGTGGGACTCGCGCACGAACGGTTCCGTATTATCTATAAAAAAAAGACAAATAAATCATTTCAGTTGTATTTGGGGATCACATAAATATTTTTTTAATATTTGTTGTTATTATCGCAACAGAAATACATCATCTGTGAAAATTTCAAGTGTCCAACTATCACGGCTCAAAATGTACAGCCTGGTGACAGACGG